GTGTACACACACATAACGCAATACGCATCAAAACCAGACACCTGTGACATGGCTCCCTGCTCTGGCGAACATTCTGCCACCAAATATCCGCAGGGACATCGCGCAAAGCGCAAGTGGTGTTGACACGTTTTCTCGCCAACGATAGACAACCTACCCATCATCAACCAAGACCTCAACAATGCAACCTCACTGCCGACTCAATTCCCGATCTCTCCCCCCCCCCATCCCTTTTGCGATCGCGCTGCTGTCACCATCCTCGACTCTCAGCCAGATCCGGGAAGATCACTGCTGGCGAACAGAGTGGAACAACGCGGGCGTCTAGAATAATCACATCGTTAGAGACCCAAACATCTCACCTCCTGACTTTGATATTTCTCCCCCAAGACAATGACTGGTGTGATCAACAAACCGCGTCGGAACATCAACAGGTCGCTACTCACATCTCCTTCACGAATGGAAAATTAAACACAAGCCACGGTGCAACTGTGGCCATTCAACTCAAACTATGGACCCAAAAGTAAACCACTGTAGTCTGCGCTCCTTCAATGGACGAGCAAAACGACACGAAGTCTCTCCTTGAAGCCCCCTCGTGGCTAGCAGGTCTCGACATTGGCATTTAGCTCCTGGATATATTTTCCATATGCTAAAATTTAATTAGACCACTCTAGTTATTTCACACAAAAAGGAGATTTTACCCCATTCATCTTGATTTGAAGTTTTCGTGACTGCAGAAATCCATGAATGGGGTATACTCTTTGGTTCTTTCGGTAAAGTCACGTAGGTATAAAATACAAAATAAAATACAAATAATTTGTATTTTATACCTACGTGACTTTACCGAAAGAACCAAAGAGTATACCCCATTCAGGATGATGATAATAATTTCAAATTGTAACGCTCCGCACAGCATCCACTCACGCTCGTCGACAGCACCTCCGATTAGCACGGCTGACTACGTACGGTGCGAAAGAACGACTAGAGGCATGAGGAGGAACCACATACAAGCGGAAAGGCAACGAGAGCGGGCACCAACAATTGCTCAAGCTCTGCAGTCCTCTATGTATTAAGGTGTTATCGGCCAATTTATGAGTACTTATATGTGGGAGGAAACCAGAGCACGTGTGCGAGGAGGAAACATTCTATCTCACACAGATGTAACATGTGCAGTCGACAATTTTGCTGTACTGACTTCTCCTGACGCCCACGGGAAGGGAGTTTCGCAACATTTGTGGGACCAACCAACCCCGGCAGTGCTGAATTACAGGCGTGTGCTACCACTGCCCAGCGATGATGATGAACTTATTATCATGCGTTATCTACTGCTGAATGAAGGCGGCCCCAAGTCGTCGTCGTCACACTATAATACATCCAGCTACTGCGTATGAAGCAAATCTCGTCGCTTCATCTCTGTGCTGGTTATCCTCTTTGGCGTATTTATCTTTTACGTTCCAATCTGTTATTAGTCTCATCCAATGGCAACCTTCGTTGTTTGTGTCAAGTCCAAGCACAATTATTATTCTTAATAGTTCGTTTGATGCCTCTAATCTGTTTGTTCCCTGTTCCGTGTGTTCCATATTCTGTCTTCGTGCAATTCTCAGCATACACCTCTCCATTACTATTCTTTGGGTCTTTCGGTAAAGTCACGTAGATAGGTTATTTACCGAAAGACCTATAGAATATTAATTGCTGCAGTCACGAAAGCTTTATGTCAAGATCTCTCCATTATTGTTTGCGCACTTTTAACTTTTTGTCGAATCTCCTTGCCAGTGTCCACGTCTTCTATCCGTATGTCATACCAGACAACATGAACTGATGAAAAGTGTTTTTCTTTAGGAACAAATGTATATTACCTATACATTCTCAAATTCAGTTTTCCAAAAGCACTCAAAGCTGTTCTCTCTCTTTTTTATCCTTTCAACATTTGTATCCGTCCGCCTTTAATAAGTACCTCAAATATGCATATTTCGTTGGGTTTTTCGGTTGTCTCTCCAAGAGTTATTTTCTGTTGTTTAGCAAATGTATATTAATTGTGTCTTGTTAATACTCATCATTATTTATACTTTTCAGATATCTTTAAGTCATTCAACCATTTGATGTAGTTCATTTCCAGTTATGTCATCATATAATTTCATTTGTATTTTCTCCATTTGTTTTCACCAAATATGTTCGTGCCTTTACATCTCCAATTATATTTATAGAAATTAAATCTATCCACTTTCATCATTAAATATTTAAACTTTCTTTCATTCACTTAGCCTACAATTCTGTTTCGCTTTGAATAAGTGTTGAGAAAAAAAAGTTTATGGAAAATCTATGATAGAAAGTATACCTCGTTAAGAAAATATTTCATTCAAGACCAGTGACTGGCTGCATAAAGTAACTGAAATCAATAATTCAATATGGGTTTTCAACTTTCATTTGTACTATTCTATTATTTGCACATAATTACCCTGGAAATCTTCACCGAGCCTCAATACTTTTTTTTAAATGAGGGCCCTGCCACGTTTTTGCAGTCATGGACAATGTTGCTACGTGTCATCCTAATTCGGTAATTTTCAGGATTTTCTTTAGCATTCGGATGTTTGGCCAATACCAGAGAACCCGATGGAAATCCATGCAGATAAAGGGAAGATAATATACAAACACCGCACAAAGTACCCGAATCAGGAATCGACCCAGGTTTTTTTCTGGCTGAGGCACAAGTGTTATCACGATGCCATCCTAACGTCCGTTTAAACTTACACAAGGGTAAAACACTTCCGTATAAAGCGAGCTGTATTGCCAGCCAAATCCATAGTTGTCCTGATTGCTAGTCATATTATACTGCGCTGATAAACGCATGACATTCCCTGCTGAATCACTGCTTACTCCATTCCGAAAACATGCAAACACGAACACCGCCGATTTGCCTTGGGCGCAATTGAACGGCAGGCGGCGCTGTGGCACCAGGTCAATTTTGACAGGACTTCCATCACCCAGTGCAAAAGTCGTACAGCAGTAGTTACCACCTTATAGCGTCTGTGCAGTCGCTCTTCAGCACTAAGCGTTGTGACGACTCGCAGTTAAGGGGAAGGGGGTCATTGAGCGGACACATGGATAGCCATTTCCAGCGACGCTTCCGTCTTCAAATCCGACGCCGTGCTGACTGAGCCATTAGGCGTGACCACGTGTGATTGTAAGCTGCAGTCATCTAGATGTTGCAAGATACGTTTTTCCCCATCGCTTACAAAAACAATCGCCCTGATGCGAATATAAATGATTAGTTCATGTGCACCTCGTGCTGGGATCATTAACAATCGCGCAGAGTATAGGACTCAAATATATGCACCCCCCCAGTTAAAACTACATGGCATGGTACTCATGCGCACCAAAAGGGCCGTCCATAAATGACGTCACGCGATTTTAGACGATTTTTGACCCCCCTCCATCGTCACACGGCGTCACAAAAAGTCAGACCCTCCCCCCTCAAATATGACGTCACAAAGCTCTGCCCGCCCCCCAAAAAAAACCCGTTTCAAATCGCCTTAAAACTATTGTCATTGTAGTGCGTATTTAATGTGGCGCTGCACTCTGATGTTGTAGGAGAAAACATTTATTAAAAAGTCTATTTAATGATAAGTAAAACGTGTTCTTTATATTTATTTAAAGTTGCGCATTTTGATGTGACGTCACATTTCTCACCCCCCCCCCCCTCTCGTCACACATCGTCACAAATGTCTGACCCCCCCCCCCCCCGCTAGGTGCGTGACGTCATTTATGGACGGCCCCAAAGCCGTTCAAACCTTGATGCTCAACCACCAATCGCAGCGAGTAGGGCAGTTCCAATTGTCGTTTCTCGCGATTACTTGGCGTGGGTTCTTCACTTGATTATGAACAATCTCGCCCATTGTGTGCGCATGTGTTTAAGGAATATGCAACCCAAATAAAACATTTGTTATCTTTCGATTTAAAGTTTTCGTGGCTTCAAGGATTCATCTTCTTTGGTTCTTTCGGTAAAGTCACGTAGAATGAGAATAAAATAATAAATTAATAAATAACACAATAAAATTCTCACGACGTTTCGGCCACAATACAAGCGGCCTTCTTCAGGTGAAGAAGGCCGTCGGGACGTCGTCGACCCGTCGGGACGACGACGTCCCGACGGGTCCCGACGGGTCTGTTCCTTTCACCTGAAGAAGGCCGCTTGTGTTGTGGCCGAAACGTCGTGAAAATTTTATTGTGTTATTTTATTTTACTAATTTATTATTTTATTCTCATTCTACGTGACTTTACCGAAAGAACCAAAGAAGATGTGTTATCTTGTAGCTATGATGTACCTTTGCTGTGTCCCGGGCTGTGACACACGTTTAAAACTTCAGTAAAACAAAAAAGGCGAAAGAAACGATATCGTCGATGATCTTGCTAGACATCGCTTCCAGCGCCACACCCGTGACTGCCACGCGTTTAAATAGCTGCGATGACTATGAAGCTTTCAACTAATGTTTCACAGCCCGCGACACGCGGCCGAGTTGTGCTACAACCGCAGCAGCACAGAAGGCTGCTGCTGCCTTCAGGACGAGAGCTTTCTCTGCTGTCATCCTCGGAGACTCGGTGACCCCGCGGCAGGTGCCGGCTCCGCACGTGCCCGCACGCCTCGCACCCAGCCATCAGCTGGGCGGGCACCGCCGAGCAGGGCCCGACTGCGCATGCGCATCCGCGAGTATCCCCGCCCCCATTCGCCGCCGCCCCCGCCCCTCTATGCGTACATCACCGCCCAGTCCAGCCCCGCCTTTTCCTTCCCCGCTCTTGGCGCATGCGCAGAGCCGCTCGCACCGCTCGCGCGCCCCCCCCACCCTCGATCTGGCGCGCACGCGCAGTGGAGGCGTCCCGGCTCTGCTCAAGGCAGAGCCGGGCCGACTTGAGGCCCCCCCCCCTCAACACAACCCCCTCCCGGTAGCCCCGCCCCTCCAACGCCGACTCGGCTAGCCCCGCCTGTCGCACCCCCCCCCCCGCTAGACGCGCATGCGCAGTGGGTGTTTGCCGGCCATTTTGAGTAAGGCGAGGAGAGGGCGCTGGGCTGTCACTTCGCTCGCTCCCTCCTCCTCTTCCACCGCCGCCGCCGCGATTACTGCAACAGCAGGCGTCATTGCACTGCCGCACGTACTCGGTGCGATTCCTCATCACCGTCGTCGTTACGCGCCGCTACTCGCGAAGACACAAGACGAGGACAGAAGGAGCGGCGAGACGCCGTGGATGCGAGGCCGGGCGGCCCGGGGTCGCGTCTCCTCCTCCGCGAGCGGTGGCAGCAGCGGCGATAACAACAACAGCAGCAGCAGCAAGGGCGAAAGCAGCGCCGAGGACGACGAGGACGACGAGGCTTCACATAAGCCCGCTCACTTGTATTTATAATCCACATCTACCTACTGCTGCTGGCGGCGGCGGCGGCACGCGTCGAGCCGCGAGGAGATGACATAAATAACGAGGAAGGGGCGAGGGGAGGCTCCTGGTGTGTGTGTGTGTGTGACCGCCTCTCCTTCACCTTGCCTACCTGGCTGTCTATACAACGCCTTTCCTCTGCTGGGGCCCGCGCACAGGCCGCCCAAGACAGAGGCGGAGCCGCCTCCCAACTCCTTCCGCGGCTTCGTCTCGACGCCCGCTGTCAAGTGGGTGGTGGTGGCCGGTGTCACCACCGCCGCCACCATCATCGACAAACATTGTCACATCGTCCTCAACATCGTCGTCGTTGGTGCCGCGGGGTGGTGGGGGGTGGGGGGAGCCGTGTGAATGAGCGCGATGTCGGCCGAGGTGCGCCTGCGGAAGCTGGAGCAGCTGGTGTTGGACGGGCCGCGTCTGCACGAGTGCGCGCTGAGCGTGGAGAGCCTGCTCGACGTGCTCGTGTGCATGCTGGACGAGTGCAACAATTCCACGCTGCGGCGCGAGAAGAACGTCGCCGAGTTCCTCGAGTGGGGTGAGTGTTGCCGTGGGGTTGGCGGGGTTTTGAGGGGGGGCCTGAGCGCTAACACGAGTTGACCGAACGATTCGCACCGGCCGCCCCCAGTCAAGACGGCATTCATCATGCTGATCTCCATCCTGGATTGCTCATGCCCTACCCACCCCCATCCCGTCCTTCATTACTGTAATGCCCTCCCCACCCACCACTTATTACCACCGCCATCCCCTTACGACCAAATCCCACGACTGTCACTTCCGCTATCATCGCTATCGCAAAGATAACCACCATCAACATTACCAGTACTATCACTACCAACATTTTCATCGTCACTACCGACACCACTATTGCCAGCATCATCATTACACCACTCCCTCCATCACCACCATTATTAACCTCCATCGCTGGAGTCCTCGTCGTTGTTTTATATCGCGTGGTTTGTTTAACCCCCGCGGCGACCGTGCTGTGTCGGGCGTTACCGGCCATTATCCCCCACCTCTCTTTTTCATCTTTCCTCATCGTCCTCATCCACCCCTCTGTGCACATTCGCTCGTCTCCCAGCCACCCGATGGGACTATTCTTCCACTAGCCTACGATGCGTCTTCCATCTTGCGGACGATAGATTTTTGTGGGCGGTGTTGCCATCTCTTCATTTTACATCCCTTGCCATACCGCCCCGAATCCCGCTTTTTTGCCTCTCACGCCTTGCTCTATCTGCTTGTTCGTTTCTCTCATTGCTCTTCTCGCCCCTCACCATCCTCGGACGCACTCGGGGTGGCCCGGTAGCGTCGCCCGCCCCCTCGTCTCTTTAAACGTTCCGCCCGCTGGAGAGGTGCCACGGCTGCAGTCAGCCAGGCCCCTTCCTCGGGGTGGAGGTGGAGGGGGCTGCGGGCGAGCGGTCGCTTTAGCCGCCGCCTTTCCAATCCCACGGTAAAGGCGCAGATGTCTGTGAGGCACAGGCTAGCGTCTGTTGTGGTGCAGCCGGTCCTACCGGGTCTGCGGGCGGAGAGACGCTGGGATCAGTGACTAAGAAGGTGGATGAGGGGCCTCGTCATGGTGGTGCCACACGCCAATTTGACCTCTCGGGCCCGTGATGTCCACTTTACGGACACTCACACTCCATGCAGTGTGTTATCATCGCGGAGCCCAGTCACATTGGTAGACTGGGCAATGTCCGATGATGGGTTTATGCAGGCGATAATTTGAAATGGCTATACTGGGTTGTATTATTTCGGTTGGTGCTGCTATGCTTGGGATGGTCTGAGCGAGAGTCAAGCTGGGACTGGCCAAATATCGCTTGACTGAACTTGTGCAACAGTCTCTTTGTTTGGGAGAAGTTGCAATGTCATCTGATCCAAAATAAAATGAAAATGTAATTGTGTCAGCCAAAAGGTCCAAAACCGAACGTGGCTTTGTAAGTTGATCATATTGTCATCGGTAAGATGACTCCATTTTCAGTAAACTGCTCAAGTACATAAGCAATGTAAAAATTACTTCCTTTGGATGTGACCTTCGCTCCCACTTTTGTGCAAAGATGTGGCCGTTAAATGAGGCTGACGTTTATTTTACTAATGCACCTGTGTTGCTATGTAATTTGGTGTCCATAAACCGGCTTTTTAGGTCATTGGCATTCCTAAGACGTGGCTTGAGCAGCTGATGAACAAGCCAGTGCTGCCCCCACTACAGGGCTGTGGGGAGGTACAAGGTGGCTTAATAAATCAAGGTAGGCGGTCTTTGATCGCTGTGACTAATGTGGCAAAGTATCAGAGCTTGAATATAATTTACGCATGGGACTGTTAATGTGCTTCTTAAACTTACTGTACCCGAGTGGGATTTAAATAACATTTAGTATTTTGATTAAAACAAATTGAAGAGAAAAATGACTTGGTCCATTCACCTGGAGTGTCTGTTCGTCCATTAAAATTACCGTCCATCAATCATTACTCAAGTCGTGTCCCATCCGTTACATTTGCAAGTGATGTTCGAAGGTCAGGCAGGCGTTTTGATTGTAATGGAAGGCAGCCCTGGGGTTGACCTGTCTGTAGGGTCGGATTTTCAAGAATGTAGGAGGTCTGGGCTCGACTGCCACGCCTGAGCGAGACAGATTCCCTTTGACGTTAGTGCCTGCTGTGTTTGCACATGATACCCAAACAGAAGTTTACATGTGTGTAATAAATCCATATACTGGCCATCCACTGTAACCTTGCCCGACACAACACAGTCGGCTGTCTGATAACATTTACATGTTAGCTAATAGGAGCATGTGGTGCATTAAATTCACACGAGTCATTTCACTGTAATTTTGCTGTCGAGATTTTACATCAAATGTTAAAATTGCTTGAACTATCTTGTGCGTGAAATATGCAGATTTGACAATGTGTAGACATTTTTAAATGTCTCACCTCGTGGCCAAACATTAAAATGTGTTATTTGTGTTTATTTTTTTAATAGATTGTAGCTTTGAAAAGTCAGTATATTAAAGTGCCTCATGTGGGTGGTTGGAGTACTGAGCTGTAGGTGGGATTACAGAACGAGATAATGAGGCACTGAGACGGACTAAATCACGTGAACTCGAACTCTTTGGGTCAGGACGACATTTAGATGACACTTCTCCTGTGGTGTTTGACCTCTTGTAAAACGTGCACTTTGATTAAGATTGTTTGTTATTGGTCATTTAATCACCATCGGTCTGTGGCAGGCAGGTGTGTACATGTGTAATTTCTGTGCACCCCTGTAAAATTGGCACCTGACGCCAAAGTGGCTTATCAAAAGAACACTTGCTCAATCTTGCACAACAGAATTGCCAAATCAAACAGCTGCGGCCGTTGGTCCTCACAACTTTCATGCCAATTAGCCACCTGCGTAGCATTCCATCGCAATCTTCCCATCGTTTAGCCGTCCACCTAAACTTTGACCTTTTAATCACTTGTTTCATTGTGGGAGTTTGGCGCTGGTGACCCAATTAATCGTTGGTGTTCATTCCCCCCCCCCCAAACAAGTGTTGCGTTCATTAGAAATTTGCAAGCTCGTTGGCTTAATTGTCACGCGACTGCCAGAGGTGATTTGGAGTGTCATCAAAATGTTGCCTGCGTGTAGAGACGAGTGCAGGTACAGCGCCCACACCAGGCCGTGTGTGCAGCGCCGAGCATACTAAGCTGCTCCAGGGATTTCAGCAATGTCACGTTATTGGCTTCTGGCATGACAGCTGCTCCAGTACAAAAGCTTCCGGTAGCTCCCCCATCCCATCTCCCCCAACCCCCTTCGATGCACAGCCTGCTCTGCTGACACAGCCCCACATTAGCAAACATCGCAGGGAGAACAGGGGGCCCAAAAGCCCACTGTTCTAGCACCTCCCTTAGGACGTGAGTAAATATGCAGTTTCTTTATTAGTCCTCATTCTTTTTTGTGAAGGGGAAGGTTGCAGCATTGTTGCTCTTCAACATGTGACCTCTTGCTGTTTCTTACTGCCTGCTAGCGAATGCATCGGTCTACAGACATTCACATTTTGGGTAAAAATAGGTCATGTTCTATTAGCAGCAGCCAAATGCATTTTTATATTCGTCCCAATCTATGCCCATCCTGTCTTGGAGCCAAGTGGAAAATGCAAGGAATTAAAAATCTGTTTCGTGCATGTACATTCTTGTTAAACAAATAGTATAGTGGAGGGTCTTCCCACTGTTGGTAGCGTTGTGAATGTGGCAAGGTTTTTTGTGGCACCTCTGGGAAAATGGGAGATGAGGCTTCATTGTGAAGGAAATTAGGCGCAAAAAAGAATCAATATCCATGCTGTCCTTGCAGAAGGGACCCTTCCCTCATTCCTTTAATTTATTAGCATGTGGTCCTTACTGAACGGTAATAATAATGATTATAATAGGGCATTGTGATAATGTATGCCTATAGTGCTTCAGTAAATTATAGAGCACACTTCGCTCCTCGAATGACTGAATGTGGCAAAACCTCAATTTAAACTCGCTTGCCTAATCATCCATTTCAGATTTACAGATAACAAAGGCTTAAAGCTGTGGAGACAATTCTAAGAAATCCTGTTTGCTTTTTATAACAAATTCGTGTTTTGGAACTAGCTTTAATTCCACCGTCTGGTTTAATTAAGTGAGGTGAGAAAAAAAACCCAACATTGAGTTCACGGAAACGTTCGAGTCTCGTTCGCTGGCTCATGTGGTTACGCTTGGCCACAGACGTACGGGTTTGGGCGAGCGCCGACTTGCGTCGCACACTGCCGTGCGTGTCGCACAAAATACCAGAGCGCCGATTTGTATTTATGAGAAAATGTAAAAAAATATATATGAGTCTAACGTCTCTCTTACGGCATATCTCTTCTCCCAGTCTCATTGGGTGCAGTCTCGCTGCCAGTTGTCACATGTTCACAACTTGACGGTGATCTTTCACCTGTCTTAAGTCATCACGGTGACACTTTATGTTCAGATAGGTACGATATGTCCTATCGTAGCAGCGGTGAATGTAAACACGGGGAGAAAATGCTACTGTAAGCAGTGATCATAGCTGAACCTAGGTGAACTCTGAACAATATTTGTTTTATTAAGTTACGTACATTGCTTTTATACCCTTCGTGCTCGCACAGCATGTCGTACGAGTGCATTTTTTCGAGAAATTGCGCTTTATGGCATTCTCATAACATGCATATCAGGTCTCTGTGGACAACTAAGTACAGTAACCAATTGACTGAAAGGTTGTAAGTGGGCTCCATGTCGTATGTGGCATGGTGAATGAGACAATTTAAATTGGCTATTACGGTAGTAGCGGTCAAGTTGGGAAGGTGTTGCTTTATTTATCACTTAGTGAGATATTACTTGACAAGCTCAACAATTGACACATTCACTTAGTCACAGTTTACATTTGTTGGTGATAATCGACTACTTTGTTATCTTTGATAAAAATAAATAACATTTCATGATCATCTACAGAAATTCGTATTTCTTTTGGGGTAGAATTTTACCTTTGGGTTAGACTTGTGCTCTTCTGTAGTCCATGCATAAGGT